TGCTAGGCTTTTAATAGTCCTTTTTATACCATCATCACTATCAACAGCAACTTTAACAGTAGCAGCTGCATCATAGTAGGTACTACTATTTATCCTTAAGACTAAGACTCATTTTCATATTTTTATGTTTCTCATTTGTCTTATAATCCATGTATACATTCAATGAAGTCCCTTTTCCGCCCTCTGAAAAGATGTTTTTAAATTGATGGGGAGTCACCAACAGCATCTAAGAAAATTAAAGAACTAACTACAAATACTGAAATTTGGAATTAGACAGACTTGGATTAGAATCCCGAATTTGTCACTTATGGCCATTTATCTGTGTGCTGCAGTTCAACATCAAAAATATTAATAGAATAATATGTTCTTCTTAGGCTTCTTATGAAGATTAAATGAGATCACATATATAAAACTCCTAGTAGAGTGACTGGTAAATAACAGGTGCTAATATTAGCTTCTTACTACTTTATATCAGAATCATTCGACGCTGTTATTTGTTCTTCTTTCTCAACCTCGTCCCTCCTTTGGCTGTGTCAATATTCAGTGGCTGATTCTCCTCTTGCTTCCTGGGAAAATCCTTCTGGACTTCCATGGCTCTACTTCTTCTTGCTATATAAACATCCTCTTAAATCTGGTCACTTCTCTGCATCCCCACTCCCTTTAGTCCAAATTATCAGCATTGCTCACCTGGACTTCTGCAATCACTTTTTTTTTTTTTTCTTTTTTGAAGACAGGGTCTTGCTCTGTCTCCTAGGCTGGAGTACGGTGGCCCAATCATAGCTCAAGGTTACCTCGAATTCCTGGGTTCAAGTGATCCATCTGCCTCAGTTTCTCAAGTAGCTGAGGTTATAGGTGCACACCACCACATTAATTTTTTTTTAATTTTTGTAGAGATCGTGTTTCGCTATGTTGCCCAGGCCAGTTTCAAACTTCTGGGCTGAAGTGATCCTCCCACCTTGGTCCCTCCAAAGTGCTGGGATTCCAGGCGTGGGCCACCACACTCAGCCTGCATTACTTCTAACCAGTCTCCTATATCCTCTTGCCTCCTACTATCCTTTCTTCTGACAGCAGCTGAAGAGATTGCTTAATAATGTATATCTAATTATGTCTCTTCTCTACAAAGCCACTGCTCTTCAAAATAAATGAAAACTTAAGAAAATTGGACCCAAGCCTAATTAGAGATAATTCTAGCCTTTCGTACTCTTTATTCCTGCATTATATCAAATCCATTTCTTTAAATAAGCCATGCCATACCATTTCGTGTCACCATTCTAGGCAACACATGTACAGAGTGTTAGAACTCTTGGTGCTAGGACTGTAACCATCCTAGGCCAGGTGACTCTAGTCCATTAGCCACCAGGTCTGGTACATTCTCCACAAAGAGGTCATAGCAACAAATCTACCGTGTTTCTGATCTTTGTTTTCATCAGTTAACTCCCAGAGATTATCCTCTCAACTCATCTAACCTCAGTCCAACATGGTGTCCATGCTCTTCTGCACTTCCTTGCCAATGATGTAAGCCCATATTCTCTCATTTAGCAGAGTTTGAGGCATAAATTAGCGTTTTTAAATAATCACTTCAACTCCTCTCTAGCAAATGGAATTGCCTTTTCATAATCAGCAAATTTCCCCATAAACTCAACTTCTTTAAGTACTCTTTCCATCTAATGGCCTTATCTGAAAATGACCTCTGCCCCTAGGTGCTGCTTCTCTTGCAGAGAACTCTCACATAGCAAAGTTGCTTATTTTTCACACCTCAGAGTAGAGGGGGGGTTGATGTTCTCTTTACTCCCAATACCATGTCTAAACCATTACTCACCAACCTTCTTAAAAAAAACTTCCACCTATTTGAGAAACACACCATTCAGCTGTAGCACTATCTTCCCTTCCTTGACCTTGCATTTATAAATCTCTGTCTAATAATCCCTTCCCTCAAACATTAACTAAAGATTTCAGCACCTGACTCACAATCTTCCTCTCCATCCTCAAAAGCTTTCAAGTCCATATGGATTCCATATGACTTCCAAATATCGATTTCTAGCACAGATCTTGTCCTTAAGATCAGGATGCATAAAAGCAATCCATAAAATCATTAATTCATTCACCAAGTATCTAGAGTATGCCTACTATGTGCCTGGCACCACAGATACAATTAAAAATAAAGCTGACCAAGATTCCTGCCTTCATGGAGTTTCCATTCAGGTGGATTGCTTTTAGTAGGCATCTCTACTTGGATCTCCCATAGTTATCAAAGTCAATACATTCCAAATAATAGCTATCATTCTTCCTACACAGATCTCACCTCTACCCACACTCCCCAAAATTTCTCTTACTCCTCCAATGATTCCTTATTCTACTGAATCCTCTATCATACAACATGAAACCCAAGTAAGAAACCTGAAGCCATCCTTATTACCTCTAATTTATATTCATTCTGTCAATTTTATATCCTTAACACTCATTCTCTTCTCTTCATTGTCACTAACAATGGAGGGTTAGTGACAGATCTTCTTCATATTTTTATCATAATATTATAAGTGGCTTCTTACTGGGTATCCATGTCTTTAGCCCCTTCTAATCAATTCTTTATTTAGGAGCCAGAGGAATCTTTCTAAAATGCAACCCTAATCACCTCAATCTTCTGCTTAAATTCAAATGCTTAAGCATGGCATATAAGTTTCTTTTCAAATAGCTTCACTCTTTTTAAACACACAGAACTATTTCGAATGTGTCCTGCATATCCAGAGTTCTGTGATTTTAGAAATGTAGTTCTCACTGCTTAGAATACTTTTTCTCTGTCCTTTTTTTTGATAGCCTATAACCACCCACCCTAATGATGCATATAAGGCATCATTATCAATAGAGAATCTTCTTTGACCCTTACCTTTCTACCCAGGAGATAATTACATCATATTCTAATCATCTGTATACTTGTCTATGTTCTCACTTAGACCAAATATCTACAGGGCAGAAAGAAATTTTTGACATTGTTTGTTTTAAATCTCTGCATCACTAACATCTAATAGGTGCTCTCAATAAGTAAAGCATAAGCTAAGCTATAGTTTTATGTATGTTTATTATATATACTGCCTTGCCAAATAATTACGCATTGTTGGGTTTTCCTTTCATAGAAAGAGGGGAAGGAGCTCTTTTTTGGAAATTCCAATATTTATCAAAATACTTTGCACATAGATGCTGAATGTTTTTTTGCTGATAACTTTCTTTTAAAATATAGTAAATGTGATATCCACTGTACAAATACAATATCCTGACAACACATAGTTTACTTACACATAATCTTAAACTCTGGATTACAAAAATTTGAGGAATTAAGAGGAAGTTTACTTCTTATAATAGGTAAATTAATTTTTTTTCAGTCCATGTGAATGAACCATTACTGCACTGTTATATTTGAGGCTGTCCTCCAAAAGTGCCATATTTCATTACAGCAAAGAACTAATTAAAAAATAAATTACTTTCTTTTTAAAACTAGTGTCAAACTCAAAATGTTTGAATTATTATGTACTGTAAATTAATATGAAAATTACCATCAATCTGTCTCTGAGGTAAACCAGCCATTGGGCAAAGTTCCTTGGAAGACATCAAGCTCAACACCAAAGATGTATTCAGTTCTTCCAAACCTGGTCCAAACATAGCAAATCGTGGTTCATTCTGAATGATCAGTGAGTGTAAAAAAGAGGTGACAGCTCCATACACAGGACGGCTGGATTTCGAAGCTCTTCTTGTATATGGACAGCATGTTTTATAGCTGTATAAAATTGTCATAATTAGAAAATTAACACAGAAAACAGTTAGCCAGTTATTCATTCAACAATATATAATTTATTGACAGAATGGATGAAATGACTATATAGTCCCAATCCTCTAGGAGGACAGTGGAGAACAGACACCACCATAATATGTATGAACAGTGCCGTGACAGGGAAAAACACCAGGCACTCTAGGAGTGGGAGTGACTCAGAAGCCAAGAAAATCTTCCCCAGGAAGTGGTTACTTATTTTCTAATCTTTCACTTAGATTCTCTTATGGAATACTTGTTTGAATAGTCAAAATTTACTACATAGAGTAATGGTTCTCAACCTGAAGAGGTTTACACACCTATCCTCCAGGCACATTTGGCAATATCTGAACATTTTTTTTTTTATTTCAGGATATTATGGGGGTACAAACATTTTGGTTCCATGTTACGACTTTGCCATATGCAAACCATGATTTGAGGCATGCCCTTCCCCCAACCCCAACAATGTTCACCACGTCCATTAGTTGTGAGTTTACCCACCCCCAACCCTCCAACCCCCAAAGAATATTACTACTGTGTCAGTACCTTAGTGTTGATCAGTCAGTGCCAATTTGATGGCAAGTACCTGTGGTGCCTATTCTTCCATTCTTGTGATACCTCACTTCAGAGGATGGGCTCAAGCTCTAACCAGGAAAGTATAAGAGGTGCTAGATCACCATTGTTTTTTATAATTGAGTAGTATTCCATTCCATACATAAATATGGTAAAATATACCATATTTTATTAATCCACTGAACATTTTTGTTGTCACAACTAGGGAGAGCAAGGGAAGTGTGTAGAGGCCAGAAATGCTGCTAAACATCCTGTAATGCACTGAGTAGCCCCCAGAACAAAGAATTATCTGGCCCAAAATGTCAATAGTGTTGAGATTGAGAAACTCTGAACTAAAGATAAGCTACACAGTTAGCTTAATGTCCTAGAAGTTAAAAAAAAATTTACTAAGACCACAAATATAACCAAATTTCTTAGGAACTCCTATTAATAGCCTCAAATATGATAGTTCATTAAGTGTTAAATGTAGAGAGAGTTTCAAATGTTCCTCGTAGCAACCTAGCAAACTAAGAATTGTGAAAGAAATAATTCAGTTTCTTTCAATAGCTATAAATCTCTAAACTAGCAATTATACATTTTATCAAAAATTAAAACAAAATTACTCAAATTAAAATAAAACATTAAGTACTTTAAATAAGTCAAGCTGTTTAAGACAATCACTAATATAACAAAATCATTTTTATTAGAGACCTTGTAATTCACAAAGGGACAAAAACTAGCATTGAAGCTAGGTAGACCTGCCTAAGCCTCATCACTTTAACTAGTTATATAAGCCACTTATAGTCTGAATTTCAGTTTCTTCATCACTATTATTTAAGAAATAACAACAACCTAGGGTTCAAAGAATTAGAAATAATTTATATGATCATAAATGGTAGATACGATGATTATTATTATTCCCTGGGAAACTCCACAGAATCACATACACTTGATGCAATGTTGCCTGTGGGGCACTGCAGAGGTAATGCCTAGCAAGTGAGTGGCATTTGTTGAGATTATATATAACAAATCATGTACATTTTGATCCAGTAGTCTCACAAGACTTGACATAATGGCATCTGTATTAGAATATGGTAAAGCTCTGAATAACTTCAGTAAAATTTGAAAAAAAAAAAATCCTGTATGTCACTACTGAATCTAGCTACAGACAAACAATTCTTACCTAAAGCGTAAGTATTACATGTGGCCCTCCAGATCCCCAAGTGTGGACCCTCAACTAAATCCAACTTCACAGAAAAAATCCCTTTATTTGTTCTGTAAAATTTTGATTCAGTCAAAAGGCTGCACTCGAGGATCCGGAAGGCCACATGTGGCCCCCAAGGCCACAGGTTCCCTATCCCTCCCTCGATGAACCTCAATTCTACATCAATGATGCAAAGATAAAATCTTGTTGCATGGAAGACTAAATAAGTAAAACATACATAAAGTGTCCCCTGTGGAATCCAATATGCTGCAGTTGCTCAATAACATTAATTCCCTCACCTACATGATATTCAAAGCTATCAATGATCTTGGGTGCTAACAAAAATCTCATTTCCCAGAGCTTTGAGAATGGTTTTCTTCTCTGCCAAAGAACTGCTTTCTGATCTCTAGCCATTCCTTTTCTGGATGTGGGAAAGTATTTACTATTTAACAAAATGACAAGTGTTCTAAAAATAATCAGAATTCTAAGTGTTTTACTTCTTGCCATCTATACTACCTATAATTATTCAAATACTGGTTAGGTACCACAGGGAAACAACAAAATGTTAAAGCTGAAAGGGTCCTATGAAGGAAGTCATTTAACTCAACCCCCAATTTTGACAAGAGAACAATTAGACACAAAGTCCACGTACCCACGTAGTGGCAGGGTCAGAACTAACTTGGATATTGCTTAGTAATACAGTAAAATTTAATATTTTCTTTTTAATTCATAAAACTAGATACTTACACTGCCATGTAGTCAAAAAAGGCACCATCAGTGACCTCAGATATAGGTTTTTTTAAGATTTCTAGATCTGGAAAAGACTTCCAGTCAACAGAAGACCAAGAAGGAAAATCCCGCAACAGAAAATATCTCCACAGAATTGGATCGCGTACAGTTTCATTCCAATAATGATTTGTGCTTCCCAACTGACATAGGTCATGAGGTGAAAGAAATGACAAAATATATAGCTGTATATCAATCTGAAACAGAAAAAAGCACCAGACAGGAAAAAGGAATGAATAATTTATCTTGGAAAATTGCATTTGGTGATAAATTACATAATCAAAAAAGAGTTATTATACTAAATAACTAAAGGTCAATTGAACAGTCAGTATTTTTAATAAATATATCATTAATAATAGTTAAATTTAGTATTTACTTGCCATCAGGAATCATAACTGAACACTTAATTTCTGACACACTGAAACATTCCTGAAAAACCAACCACTGTCAGGATATTTTTCAAGCAAAATAACCAGTTTCTTTAATTTCCCCTCATTGGTATTTTTATATACCCTTTATTTAAACAAGGTAGTTACGGAAATAATTTATTCTTCAAGATAAAACCTTTATCAAGTGGACAAATTTATGATTTTATCATTAGATTAAATCAAAGACAAAAGTGGGACAATTTCTTATTTTATCACTAGATCAAATCAAAGAGTGTAAATCTGTGATCTGAGTTCCACCATATAATCTATTAAACTGTTTCAAAGAAACTCTGCAAGGCGGAAAATCTTGAAGGCATTCTAAACCTGCAGTTTTCAATTTGAAATGGACATCAGAGGAATGTGCTAATAGTCCAAATAAGACACAAAATTGTAATAGTTTCTAAGAATTACTGTTCTCCCCATTTTCTCACTGACATGAAAGTTCAACAATAAATGATATGTATAATTCTTGTGGCTTGTTGTAACTCGAGACACTTATAACTTAGTCATTTATTTTCAATTGAGTGGCAGTTTTGTAACTTCAAATATATGGTAAGATAACAGCCACAGCCACAATGTCCTTGGAGAGTATTTGGTGACCCCTCAAGTTTTGACACATTGATCCTGGGATGAAAGATGCTGGGAACACGGATGGATGCTGGAATGCTTTTCCAAGCCAATCAATGACGACCCAAAATGAGTGAGGCAAGGATCTCAATCAATCAAGGTTTAGTAAGCCAGCTTCAGGCACGTTCAGGACAAACACAAGCCACAGATGCATCTGTCATTGTTTTTTTCTCGCAAAGAATTTTTCAGGTTTAGTATTTATATATTTCCTTAAAGGGGAGGCGGCATGCAGGAAAAGGGGCAGGTAGGTGTAAGACAAATTATTACATTCTTGTGAGTCTTTAGTTAGCGTCCAGGAAATCTCCATTTTTACATAAGGTGAATGTTTGAACAGAAAAAGAAAAGTAAAGGAAGAACCGACTATGCAGATATCTCTGGGTAGGCAGAGGAATGATTCATCTCCTTGTCTCTGATCTGCACCTGGGAGGATAAACTTATAATCAACATTATCAGTGTAGAATTGAACAGATTTTAGTTTTAGGAGCTAGATTTAGTCTGCAGACCTAAAGTTATGTAATGGAAAAAAACCCCAAACTCTGTAATATAATTTAAAGAGGTTTATTCTGAGCTGAATATGTGTGACCATGGTCCAGAGAACCATGTCCTAGAAGCCTTGAGCAAGTGATCTCACAGTGGCTGTGTTATAGTTTGGTTTTATACATTTTAGAGAAACAGGAATTACACATTAAGTCATAATACATGGAAGGCGTACATTGGTTTGTCCTGAAAATGCAGGACATCTCAAAGGGGGTGGGGGGGGAGGGCGGGCTTACAACTATAGAAGGGTTTAAAGACCCTTTGATTTGTATTATAACTGATTAAAGAAATGAAGCTTTGTCTAAAGGCTTGGAATGTTTTAAGTTAAGGAAGTCTGTTAATCAGAAATAATCTACCAGACATATACAGAGACTCAAGTGATCTATTAAGTAAATTGATGACCTGCAGGTCTGGTTTCACCTTTGTCTTACATGGCCTTGGGCCTGTTAATGATTTTGTATTTTACTGTTAACAAAGAATAACTCCAAAAGGGACAGGGCATAACTAGGCGTGTCTGACTTCCCTTTTCCTCATGGCCAGCAATTCAGCTTTAAGGTTTTTCTGGGATCCCCTCGGCCTAGAGGGGGTCCATTCAGTCAGCTGGGGGGCTTAAGATTTTATTTTAGCTCACAGCTACAATACTCATGTCCTTGTTTATGGGAGGCCAGCAAAGAATATCCTTATTAATCATTTGTGGGGACAGTCCTTCTTAGATAGCTGAGGTAGTTTAATTATTTTTTTTGGAGACAGGGTCTCACTCTGTCGCCTGGGCTAGAGCACAGTGGCATCATCAAAGCTCACTGCAACCTCAAAATCCTGGATTTAAGGGATCTTCCTGCCTCAGCCTCCTGAGTAGCTGAGACTACAGGTGTGTACCACCGTGCCCAGCTAATTTTTCTACTTTTTGTAGAAACAGGGTCTCCATATGTTACCCAGGCTGGTCTCCAACTCCTGGCCTCAAGCAACCCTCCCACCTTGGCCTCCCAATGTGCTAGGATTACAGGTGTGAGCCACTGTGCTGGGCCTTCTTTTGCCTTTCTGTGGGGATCTGGCTAGTGCATAATGTAGTAACAGCTATTGATTTGGAAAGGGGTGTTGCATGACTCAGTCTCCAGGCTTGACTTTTTCTTTTGAATAAGGAGTTAGGGGTGGTCCTGAGATTTTTATTTTCCTTTACACCACAGAGTCAGGAATAGTCTCATTTCCTTAACCGAACACTCTGGTGTCCGAGTCCCATGTGCCTGTTTTACGGGTGGAGAACCTGAGGGTGATCTGGCTGGTCACCAGGGCACCCTGTGAAGCCGCTTCCCTATGATGTTTGGGTTGGCTGTGGGGCACAAAGGGTCAACGCCAAGACGTTTCTGGACAATTGTGGCTTCTAAGTGGCAATGTTGCACGTGTAAAAAGAAATAAAAATCTCAGGGCCACCCCCAACTCCTTATGCAAATAAGGAAGTAAAGACCTCAGGCACCTGTGCAGAACTGGCCCCACAGATCATTCATTCGTTAAGGAAATTCCTTACTGACCTCCCATAAGCAAGGACATGCAAACGGTAACTATGTCTAGCATCTAAAACTGAAGCCATTTGATTCCACATTAATAATGAATTACAAGTTTATCTTTACAGGTAATAAAAATGGAAACATACAGAATCATTCTTCCACCTACCCAGGGACATCTACATAATTATGCTTCCTTCACTCCCTTTTTCCCTTCTAACATTCCTCTTATTTTATGTCAAATGTCGATTCCCTGGGCCTAACCAGAATGTGAGCCCCCTTTGCCTCATCTGCCCACCGTCCCCCCCGCCGTTTTTCTTCTGTGTGCCTTTAACATGCGCAAGATTCCAAACTCCCCTTCAGAAAAACAGCCACAGCTTTGCCTGCAGTTCGTCTTTTTCCCAGGCGCGGTCCTCAGCTACGGCTTAGTAAACCGCCTTGGATTGAGATGTTTGCCTCGGTCACTTTTTTGGGTCGACACCGGGAAAGGCTGCGCGGACCAGGCCTGACGCAGGAGGCCCCGGGCCCTGGCGACCCTCCTCCGCGGGCCAGGCAGACGCTCACCGGCAGCCGCGTCAGGGTACTGGCCGCCTCGTCCGCCTCTTTCCCCGGGGCCCTCTGCGCCGCCCTCTCCTTGCCCACCGACTGCCAGAAGGCCCTCCAGCCGCTGAAGATGGCCGCTTCCAGGCGGCACCAGTCGCTGGGCGGCGGCGGGGAGGAGCTGGTCCCGCTGCGCCGTTCGCTTCCCGCCATGGCCGTCGGCACCACACGTGACGCCCGCGGGGACAAGCGGGCGAGTTCCTCTCCCCGGCCGGTCACCGCCCGCCGCCCGCCCGTCTCTCCGGGCGGAGCTGCCTCCGGAACAGGTTAGGCCCCGGGACCGGGCAGGAGGCTGGGAAGTGGCCCAGCTGGGCGTGGTTCCGAGCTGCGTTTGAAGCGCCCGTCAACAATCACTTCCCAGTCACCGGCGGCCTCACCCTCGACCACCGGAACGCACCCACCGCTGTAAATCCCCAGCCCCCTTCTGACTTCCTGCCTTCGCTCAAGACTAAGTCTGCCACTCATTTCCACTCTACCTGGGCGACTCCTGCTTGTTCAGTAGGTAGCCCCCTCACACCATCTCGGGCTGAATAACCAGCCGCTTCCTTCTCAGCACTGCTATACTGGGTGCCAGTTTTTTGTTTGTTTTGTGTTTGTTTCTTCAATCACCGATTTACCATTTGTTTTCTTGGGGATTGGCTAAAATCAATATTATAGAGACAGTCAAGAGCCCAATCATAAAGGACCTTTGGCCAAAATGAGGAGTCTGGGCCCACTATACAAAAATATAAGTATATTAAAAAATTGCGGAACTTATGTATCTCATAAAAGAGCAGCAAAAAAACGGTTAGAAGAAGAGAATCCAGATATCGGATTTTTGAAATACCACTAGTGAGTTTTTTCTCTCTCAAAACAGATGCCCGTACTACTTGCTTTGGTCTTACTTTAAAAGGGCTTTAAGAAACTATGCCAGAGACCACTTTACAAGATAATCTGTTATACAGAACTTTGTATGGTCTATAGGTAGAAAAGATACAAATACTTATTTAGTATCATGTCCCAGTGATTTTCAAGTAGGTTGCTACATTTAATCTAATCCAAAGAACACTGCTCCAAAACTAGATCTCTGTTGCTTAAAGGAATATTTTGATTTAATGTTATATTAAATACCATATAACCAGGCAATAAGAAAAATACACTCCAATTAAAATAATCTAGTGGTTTTAAAGTTCCATTCTTGAGAATGAACAAAATAATAAATAGATCTCCGCATAATCCGGTTTAAACTCATTTTCAACCAGTAATTCCTTACAATATCCAGGACATGCAACTATCCATTCTCTTTGTGAAGATATTCAAACATGGAACTGCTGAATTTTGCTATGATCCTCTGTCCATCATTGTTTTATTATCTCAATGGTCAAAACATTCTCTCACCTCTAACCCAAATCATTTAAAAATTAATCCCCCCATGGCAATTATAGCAACAAAAAAAATAAATAAATGGGAATTGATTAAATTAAAAAGCTTCAGCACAGCTAAGGAAATAATCAACAGAGCAAACAGACAACCTACAGAATGGAGAAAATATTTGCAAACTACACATCCAATAAAAGGCTAATATCCAGAATCTACAAAGAATTCAAACAAATCAGCAAGAAAAAAACAAACTACCCCATTAAAAAGTGGGTAAAACACACAAACAGAAGTTTTTCAAAAGAAGATAGACAAATGGCCAACAAACATATGATAAAATGCTCAACATCACTAATCATGAGGGAAATGCAAATCGAAACCACAATGAGTATCACTTCACTCCTGTTAGAATGACTTTTATTGAAAAGTCCAAAAACAATAGATGCTGGCATGCATGCAGAGAGAAAGGAATCCTTATGCACTGTTGGTAGGACTGCAAATTAGTACAACTCCTGTGGAAAATAGTATGGCGATTTCTCAAACTACTAAAAGTAGACCTACTACTTGATCCAGCAATCCCACTACTGGGTATCTGCCCAAAGAAAAAGAAGTCATTTTATCAAAAAGACACCTGCACTCGAATATTTAACACAATTGCAAAGACGTGGAATCAACCCAAGTGCCCATCAATTCATGAACAGATTAACAAAATGTGGTATATGTATACCAAGGAGTACTACTCAGCCATAAAAAAGGATGAATTAATGCCTTTTCCAGCAATTTGGGAGGAATTGGAGACCATTACATTATCCTAAGCAAAATATCTCAAGAATGGAAAAACAAACATGTACTCTCTAATAACTTGGAACTAACTGATGGGCATACAAGTGCACAGAGGGAAGTAAAAGTCATTGGAAATCAAGTGGGAGGTGGGGGGAAGGGGAGGGGCAAAAACCCACCTAATGCGTACAATGAACACTATCCAGTGATGGGCACATTTATAGCCCTGACTCAAGCCATATAACAAAAACATTTGTACCCAGTTAATATTTTGAAATTTAAAAAATTAATCTCATTTTACCTTTATAGTCTTCAAAATAGAAGATAAGGTCAGCATCTTCATAAAACTATTAAAGTCTTTAAGGATCATGGTAGGTTACAGAGAACATATAAATAAGTTGTATGTATATAAATAATTAAATATATATATTTAACATCATATATCAGCACATAACAGAGTGCTTATTGTTCAATAATGGACACTTAATGTTTATTGGTGTGAATTTACATTCAAAAAGTGAGTATCTGAGGATCTAAATGTCAAATAGCAGAAATCTAATAAAGCTTGATAGCTGAGGCTCTGAGATCCAAATTTAACTTTCATTATTTTTCTTACATGCCATTGCTAGGGGCCAATAACCAATCCAATTGCAGGCTCAGTTCTGTGAGGCTATCCGGATAAGAAAAAAATGTCATGAATTGATTAACCATTTGGCAATTTTCCTCCCTCTATAGGATGTGATTTACTTTGAGAGTAAAAAAGAATTGGCACAATAAAAAAAAATCAGTTCAAGTATGAAGTACTGAAATGGTATCTGTTGACAGAGAAAAAGTTTATTTTTATTATGGAAAATGTTGAACATATTAATACATAAAATGAGAGTGAATAATAAGTTCCTATGTACCCAATATCCAAGAGTCAAGTTATCAACACGTGGTCAATCTTGCTCTGTCACTATCTTCACCTAATACCACACCTCCAACTCTGGATTCTTTTGAAGCAAATCCGAGACATATCATCTCATTCCTAAATGTCTCAGTACCTGTCCCTAAAAAATATCCTTTAAGAGACCTAACACTAAACCCATTATACCTGAACAATTTTAATTCTTTAAAATCACCAAATACCAAGTGTTTAACTTCCTCATCTGCTTCAAAAATAATTTTTTCACATTTTTTGTATTGTTTTTTGCAGTGTCATTATAATTTTACTTTTTTTATTTCAGAATATTACAGGGTACAAACATTTTGGTAACATGAATTACTTTTGTACAGTTTGAGTCAAAGTTATAAGTGTGTCCATCACCCAGATGGTGTGCATTGTACCCGATCCCCTCCTCTCCCTTCCCACCTGCTTGATTTCTGTTGAATTTTACTACCATATGTACACATGAATGTTTATCATTTAGTTTCAGTTTAATAGTGAGTACATGTGCCATTTGTTTTCTCATTCTTGCAATACTTCACTTAGGAGGATGGTCTCCAGTTCCATCCAGGTTGTTACAAAAGGTATTAGTTCACCATTTTTTTTTTTTTAATGTCTGAGTAACACACATTTGGTGTTTTTGAATAACCCAACAAGGTCCACACGTTGTACATATTTTTAAAACTTAAATTTTATTCTATAGTTCTCCCTCCTTTATTTTCCTTTGCAATTTGTTAAAGAAACCAACCAGGTTGGTCTTTCTGGACCACACTCTGGACTTTCTTGATGGCATCTATTCCTCCGTCTCACTCTTGGTAAAATTCAGGTTTTGTAAAATATTTCATAAATGGTACTGTGTACTGAGACTGGAAGTCATAAGTCATTCTCGTTTTCTCATGTTCAGAGTGATCAATCATTTCAAGGCCTGATCCATTCAAATTCCCCATAAGCTTTTCGCCTCAAAGATTTATCAGTTATCAATGAATAATATTTGCTTATAAGTTACAAAATGTTAGTATTCTAATTCTATAATTCCTTGTATTAGATGAATTAAAGAAAAATTTTCCTTCTTCAACCATGTGATTGTCATGCCTAAGACCCAGAATCAGCCATATTCCCAGGGAGCCCTGGTTCCTTTTGATGGAAAATGGTATTTGGACATGATTTCTAGGCCTTTCTAGTGTCCTTTTTATATAAAGAGAAAATA